GGTTTCTTCTTACGAAAGCCTTGCTAAGCGTTTGCTAAGCATTTGGAGCCGCTCTTTTTTTTCATTCCCCCTAATAAGCAATAAGCGCTTTGTCAGCTGAGACCCGTCCTGACCGGTACTGTGTCCTGTGTCCTGTGTCCTGTGTCCTGTCTTCCGCTTAGATTTCGGGGATAGATTTCGGGGATAGATCTCGGGGACGAAAACACAACTGTTTACGTGAGTTTAGATGAGCATCGTACGGAGTAAGAGGACACCCAGAACATCCTTCTGCCGGAGGCCGGAGTTTTGTCATGCTTATTATAGTATTAGCGCTTTAGATTTTCTTTCTTAAATAACATTTTTTACGAGGGGCAGTCGGTCGTCGGTCGTCCTGGCAAATATATGATTGTGCTTATGCGTTGGATATAAAATCATCACGACTCACGACTCACGACTCACGACTCACGAGCTGTTCTTTAATTGTCGATTCCAGTGTAAACTGGATATATCACCTGCGTTTGCTGTCCTTCGCGGTGGGTCATATGGTTTGACTTTCTGGCATATACTAGTCACGTACCGCGTTGTGCGCCTGATATTTTTTATATTTCATACAATTTTTCTCTTTGTCCAGCCGCTACTAAAGCTACCCTTTTTTGTTTACTGCAACGTTACATTGCTCTGATTGCCTTATTCAGCGGTCGTGTATCATCTACGGTATCGTTGATGCGCGTCAGGACGTTTGGGGCGCAGTTGACGATTATATCGGTTCTCGCTGTTGCTGTTGCGGTTTTGTCGTGGCTCGCTGCTCGAGCATTGAACATATCGGTCTCTTCTGCAAAGGTGCAGAGTCAGCTGGGGAGAGTCCTCGGTGGTGTAGCAGAACGCGTTGGGCGAAGTGGTGCATTGAGCAGTCTATCCAGTCGTGTTGTGACGGGAGAGGCTATCGCAAGGAATTCGAGGATCACGTTGAACGGATCAGATATGGGAGGGACGAGAACGCCGGTATATTTTCTGAGTCATGGCGGGGTGAGTCGATTCTGTTTCGTCTTTGCGCATGTCGTCCATATTGGTCGTCCACGTGCTTTCTCGCATTGAAGTCCACCTTGGTATTTTGCAAGATGCTTCGCCGGATAAGTTAGCTAACTTGCAGAAATATACGACAGCCCAACGTCATATACCAGACAGACCATCCCGCCTATGGCAAGCTGGGCGAGATTGGCAAGGAGATTACTTCCAAAGTGCAACCAAAAGCCGTCGTCGTCTTTTCTGCGCATTGGCAAGGCGAGCCGGACACGGTCCTTGTTAATACCGCTGAGATGACTGATTTGATTTATGAGTATGTCTATATGCCTTTGTTGTCATTACGCTTGACTGCATGATACATCTATTATCTACATATCCACCCAGATATTTTTCTCTTCTCTTTATTTTCTGTACAATAACGACACTGTATCTCTACTATACTGACTGATGTGTCACAGTTTCTACGGCTTCCCTGCACATTATTACGACGAAAAGTTTCCCAACGTCGGCAGCAAATCGCTCGCAGAAAACATCTTGAATCGTCTTCGCGACGCCGGGATCAGAGCCCGAGGCGTAACCAGAGGGTTAGATCATGGCGTCTGGGCGAGTTTCAAATGTGGTATGTCCCCAGTTGACTCCGGATGAATCTGAGTAGTTTTGGCACAATTCTCGATTACTCTTGGACTCCACCTTCGTTGAACACTGGATCATACGCAATGGCTAATATGCTAATCATCTCAACGGTATAGCATTCAATCCGCAAAAGAACCCGCTGAATGTCCCCATTGTGCAAGTCTCGCTGTTCGGCTCGGAAGATCCGGCCAGCCATGTCGCGTTGGGGCGTGCGGTCTCGGCGCTCCGTGAAGAGGGCGTTGTGGTTATTGTTTCAGGCATGGCGGTGCATAATCTGCGTGATCTGAGACTTACATGGGGCGATCCCACGCCGCTGCCGTATACGTCTAGTTTCGATGAGGCGGTTCGCGAGGCTGTCGAAGGACGAAAAGCCAGCGAGAAGTCGTTGAAACATGCGAGTGGGCAAGAAGTCACGGAAGGAAGTACGGAGATGATGACGGACGAAATGGTGACTGCACGCGAAGACCGTATGAAACGATTGCTTCGCAGGACGGATGCTCGACAGGCGCATCCGACTTTTGACCATTTACTGCCCCTCTACGTCGGTGCTGGCGCTGCAGGACATGATCAAGGAAAGCGAGTCTGGACCCTGACGGAGGGAAGTATGAGCTGGGGCATGTATAAGTTTGGAGAGGTAGCGTAGAGAAAGCTAGATATCAGCTTGTCTGAGCGGAAATGCATCAGATTATTAGTAAAGTTAGTATAATGAGGATAGCCTCAAAGTTTCTAATCTCCCGTTTGAAGTTTAAATTTCTGCAGATGCATGATATATTGCTGTCGCTAAGTCTAGTAGAATCTTCAGAATAATGAGAAATGTTAAAATGAAAATGTCTCGTTCATCACAGGAACCCAATCATGCACATAAAAAAGGAAACGTAGAATGCTAAACCAGACGCGAATGCCTAGCCAGACGATTCGATCCGAGTCATGCCAGTCGCACAAAAAAACCTCATGACGCGTCGTCGTCAATTGACAGGAGAAGTGTGGAAAATACTCCGATATGCATGATTGACTTTCTCATGATGTTAGTGGCGGCAGCTCGGTCTTGACGAGTCCTTTGACTTTTTCTTCAATTTCCTTGTCCGTGAGTCCTATCAGTGCTTCTTTCTTTTCTTTGCCGAATTCTGTACGCCAATATGTTAGCATCGTCTGACTTGACTTATTCTCGCCATTGCTTTAACTTCTGCGCTGAGTCTTTTTGGCTCATTTGCGGTTGCTGTGCTTGACATGATAAGGATCAATGTCCTAGGTAGGTAGGTATGACGGAGAAAAAGGTAGATATTGAAATGCACAACGCACCGTATCGTGCAAACACTCTGGGCTCTACACCAAGCGCCTCGCGCAACATGATTGGCGTATGGGGATTGTGATGCTTCATTGTGGGATACGCGCGGAGGAGGAATGCCCTATCGTACATGTATGTTAGCTTTTATGGATCGTATCAAGTCTTGCTTAGGATGTGGTGGATTGCCAAGAAGAGGGACCTCGTAAATAATAGCATCCGCGAAAAGAAGGATACAATGGAAAGAATGCTGGGATGTAAAGGACATACCGCGTGTTAGCACTGTGCTCAGAGGTCTGGCAAAAGTGGAACCGCAGCTCTTTGAGGCCTTTGACAAATACGTATTTCCCGGACATGCTGCACGGTAGACTAGGGAGAGACAATTGGTAGTAATGATGGCTAGAGGCTAGGATTTGAGTTGGATAAGAAAGAAGTATGTAGTAGATTGGAACGACGAGGAATAGATTGGGCTGAATGTCAGAAGCAATGCGGAGCTACAATAGCACCTCAACTACGTACAACGACTAACAACCCACATAACAACTCCACCTGCCCGAATAACCCCAGGAATATGGGGTGAGAGCGGAAACTTGCCCTTTACGGTTAGTATTGGTACTGGTCAGTTTGGGTCTTCCCCATCAATGCATAATTTGGTGCATAAGATATTGTGCATAGATGTGCATAATTCTTGCGGCATGTTCCATGTATATTGTGGCAGAGAATCGGAGCTGGAGTTCAACGAATCAAACTTCGCGTAAGAGTAAGTTGCCTAGCTGCCGGTACCGGCGCGGTAGTCTGGTCGAGTTTGACGGGCGAAAAAATACTTTGGCACTACTTTACTCATCAGCAAAGTCCCAGAAAAGCCCTGGGGTTGCCGAGTCGCCGACGGCGAGTTGGCAGAGGAAGAAGGGAATGACATGGAATGTGTCGAATCATTTTGTTTCTGTTTTGCAATCGCAGTCACAAGTGGGCTTTACGCCTGGATAGTAAGCTGTACGGTGACAGATGAGAAAAGAGAAAAATAAAGTAAACTGTCAGGAGATTATTGTGTCATTCGGAAGAAGTGCCGACAAGGCATGTAAAAAAATAACCACGAGTGCTAATGATATTCTCAAAAGCAAAAACACAATTAAAGTTGCGCCTGTAGAGAGACCTGTCATGAAAAAGCATCGACATCGTCGTCATTGCCACGTTAGCAATGTACCGGATGTCGCGGGATCTGTATAGTTGGTAGCTGGCCAGTCGGTTGCAGTGGAACTGAAAAGTCAGTCACGCTCCCTTCATCATCATCATCATCATCATCATCATCATCATCATCATCATCGTCCTCGTCCTCGTCGATGTCTGTCATTTCCACAGTAGATCCTATGACCAAACCCTGGCCAATTGAGGTGAAGAGAATCGGAGCTTAGCCGGCCTGTCGTAATCCGATCGGAGATAGCCAAGTCCGGGCCGCTAACGCTGTACGGCGTTCGTAGTGACTGTCGTGATTTTAACTCCGATAAGTTCGATGAATATTATTTGTACCTGGAAGTTGAGTGGGAAATGGGGTAGATAGTGTGAGTTTATCTGTTAAAGAGCTTTCGTCTGCCTGTTCAAACTGACAAGATTCGACTACAATGAGGAGGAAAGCAGTGGTAGAGTACACCGAGACGTACTTTGTAGGGATTAACTGGGAATTATTGATTGACCGGGTATCTTTAACTGCAATGCAGCAAGGGAATGACAGTTGCTCGGCGACATGTCCAGTTTAGCAGAGGGGACAAGGAATAACTAATTTCAACTAAACTCGGAAGAGTAACATAACTGTACTGTACCTGCAATCACAACTCGGCCCCCTGTCAATCATTACGTCCGTGATGAGCCCTTCGCCCGTTCGCCCTCGACAAAAAATTGTAGTTTCTCCACTTCCCCACACCAGTTGGCGCCCACCAGGACAGAACAGGCGGACAATAAGTAACTTATTTGTCTGGCTTCTCATCAGTTTCGGCTATGACTGACCTGTATGACTTTCTGCCGTTGGTTCATTCGTGCCCACACATACTCCGTACACACGCACAATCCCCCGAAGCACGCGCGACGAAACCCACTCTACTCCACCCACTTGCCTACGCCCTTTTCCCAATCCTTTTCCTTTCCCACCCAAACTTTCGGCAGCCGTAGCAGTTAGTCCGATAGCTTACTCTCCTACCCTGGTTTGGTCTTTCTCCTCGATCTTGCTCTCTCCCTCTCTCCCCTCAGTAACAAGCTAAACGGAATTTAGCCTCTTTTGTGTGCCCTTTTCTGCTACTTGTCTCTTGTCTCACTAAATTCCGTCCGACTATTGATTATTCGATCCCTACGTAGGTACCCAAGGTATCCCACCAACCTACCCTGACTGTGCCTACCCACCCACCACCACCACCACCACCACCCACTTTGGCCCCATCTTACTACTTCTTGTGTCTACCTGCAGATTATCTTTTCTCCCGCCTCCAAACACTTTTGTCCATCTTCACTTTCCTTTCCCTAATTCATCAATAACAGAAACTCTCCACTCCTCATTTCTCCATCAAAGGGAAAGCTTTACGGCAAAACCGCCTTATCCTCTCATTCCGAACGACATTCAATTGTAGCATTCTACACTGCTACCCGCCACCTTCGTGTTTTCTTCTTTTGCCCAAATCTTTATTTACCAGTCTTCATCGATATCCATAATGTCTTCTACCGCTACGAGAACAGCTGCCCGCCCCATGTGGCGCTACTTCCAGGCTGCCCGTCCCTTCCGTGCCTCTCCCTTCCGCCAACCCTTGAACCGACGCTTCCAGGGCACCGCGTCGTCCGCCGAGGCCACTGGCGCCGAGCAGCAGAGCCTGGCAAAGCGTCTTTGGAACAGCCCTGTTGGCGTTAAGACTGTGCACTTTTGGTAAGTCAATTGGCTGTTGGGGTGATTTTTTTTTCCCCTGCGACGGTTGTTGTAACTGATAGCTAACGCCGCCTCGTGCAGGGCTCCTGTTATGAAGGTACGATCGATTGAATCTCCATCGCTTCTCCCTCTTCCCGCAATTGAAAGGACGGCCTATGGTGATAGTGATATGGGTTTCTGGAGTCGGCGGGATACGCCTTCGCACTGGGTTTGTTTCGGAAGGCTCTACGAACCTTGAGACACGCCCTCAGCGCCAGAATGGGATATCCATTTCGCCCCTCCAAAAGCTCGTCTCAGACGCGCTCAATGCAAGATCTTAGAACGACGTGATAATATTCTCTTTTATGGAACCAATTGAGCTGACAGTTTTCAAGTGGGGTCTCGTCCTCGCCGGTATCAGTGACTTCGCCCGTCCCGCTTCGGCGCTCAGCTTAACGCAAAACATTGCCTTGATGGCAACTGGTATGATCTGGACCCGGTGGTGTCTGATCATTAAGCCCAAGAATGTTCTGTACGTATTTTCCATCTACACTTCCAACGCGCCTTGGGTGCACTTTGCACCGAATCGCGTCAGCGTATCTCACAGAGAAATCTCCTTTGCTAACAATTCCGCAGGCTCGCCGCGGTCAACTTCTTCCTCGCCTTGGTCGGTATCACTCAGGTCACGCGCATCATGCTCTGGCGACGCACGCAAGAGGAGTCCACCGTCTCCAAGGTCGAGAGTAGCGTCAAGGACGCTGTGTCCGATACCAAGGCCACTGCCAAGCAGGTGGTTGAGTAAACCAATCCCTCTTAGCATCAATTTTTCCTTTTTTCCTCTTTCGACTTTGGACCCGGCCAACGTCCGTCGCGTTGTACGATGTGTGTAATTGATTCGCGTTGGATTTCTGCGCCTTTTCTCTGCCTCGGGGATATATTTGGGGTTGATTGATTGATTGATTGACTGACTGGCTCCGCGCTTCTTTCTTTCCACACTTTTACCTTTTTCCCCCTCCCTGCAAAGAAATACGCACAGCGCACGTACAATTGTCTGCGTTCGCCCCGTTTTTATTTTCTTTTACTATAAAAGATTGGGGGGGCGTATGGTCGGGCAACGGGACGGACGCGACACCCCAAGGGATGCTTTTTCATCCCCCATTGGTTTTGATATCATGTCTGCGGCCATATACATTATGTCATTTTATCTCTTGCATTGTCCACTAGTCCACTAGTTTTTATATCATTCAATACACTACCATTTCAACATTTGACCGGTCCATGTAAAATTCCAATATTCTATGCGCAGTGATGTGATTCTGACCTGATAGGATCTAATGTCTTTATATACATTTACATTCCCAAGATTGGACGCGTTCATATGTGTCTTTTCTGTTTACGTCCGTCCATTGATTTGTTGCTTCTTTTTATCTGCTTGCTGAGACTCAACTCTACTGCTGGCCCAGCGGCGGCAACCGTTTTTCCAAAAAGGCTTCGAGGTCGTCGATTTCCTGCGGATCCGCAGAGTGCGCGAGACCACTATATGTGTTGTGTGTTAGCTTTTCTTTTCTTTTCTTTCTTTTCTTTCTTTTCTTTCTTTTCTTTCTTTTCTTTTCTTTTCTTTGTTTTCCGTAGTTGATGGGGACATGTCCCTTTTCCCTTCCTTCTGGATGTTGAAGGGTGTTTTTCCCGCTTTGCTTGGCAAAGGTGGCCAAGAGAATGTGGTGAAAGGGAACGTCTTTTAGTTGGTCAAGGTGCTCAAGAAAAGGGTGGTAAAAGGGGACGTCTTTTAGTTGATCAAGGTGGTTAAGGGAAGGTGGTAAAAGGGACATGTTTTACTTGGCAAAAGGTGAAAAAAGAGAGAAGTAGGTAAGACGAGGGAGACGAAAAGAAAAGAGGGGGAAGAGGGGAAACGCACGGATAAGTCTTCCAATCAACTTTCCAGCCCCATTCAGATAGTAGATCGGCCGTCTTCTTGCCCCAGCGCGTCTTGACGAGTTCGTCTTCGGCCCCGTGGGCCATGAATACCGGCGTGTCTTTGTTCGGGTTGTCGGACTATATGTGTCGTCTGATTAGTACATGTCCCGTTTACGTGGGAAATGTTGGGTTATTAAGAGAAGACAAGTCTCTCATTTCATAATGTAGACGTGGACGTGGACTTAGGATTTTGGGAGAAAGACGTCATGCGGACCTGGGACAACAAAAAAGAGAGGGGGGGGTGGGGGAATAAACATAAGAAAAAGAGGGGGGGGGGGGGGGGGGGGGGGGGGGGGGGAAGGATGTCAAAGGGGAAATACAGGAACCAAATCACGAATCTTGTTCCCCATGAGCAAATACGACGACAGGCCAACAATGCCGCCGAGTTTGCGGGGACTCGTGACGCCGGCAAAAATGGACATGGCGCCGCCCTGGGAGAAGCCGCCGAGCACGATGCGGTCAGACGAGATGCCCTTTTCGCTGACTTCCTTGTCGATGAGCGAGTGGAAGAAGGAGCGCGAGCGCAGGATGCCCGGCTCGTCGTGAGCGTCGGCGAGTTCGTCGAATGTTGTCTAGCGCGTGAGGTGTGAGTGATGGTGTGATATCGAGGAAACGGAAGGATGAGAGATAGTGGAGTGTAGTAGAAGGGGTAGAAGGAGGAACATCAGAGGGAAAGAGAATGAAAAGGGAGTGGTGGTAATGGTGGTAATGGCGGTGGAATTGGTGACGTTACTCTCTGACGTACAATGTCGTACCATCCGGGCATACGCATGCCCCAGTTCTGGAGATAATCAATGATTAGCTATGAGCTTCATTTTCTCAAACAAGTATGCCGAGTATAGAACTGATAAGGTTCTGTGAATTGGATGGGATTACGCAGCTAGAGCGTAAGAGGGTACAAGGAAAGCAAAGCAATGGCAGGAGATGAAAGGAGAGGAGAGCCGAGGAGAGGAACATACCACTGTAATGGGAATATCTGGCGCATTGGGAAAGACGAATGACACTTCCTCAAACTTGCCTCGACGGCGCCAGTTCTCAGCCAGTCCGGCCCTAATTGATCCTCGGGTAAGCCTGAACATTCTATTTGCGTTTCTTCTCCTTCACCTGGAGAATAGGATATGCAATCAAGTTGAAAGATGTAAAAAGACGATATCAGAACGCCATCAGAAGGGAATGAACATACCATCCAGCTCCGCTAAAACCAACGTAACGCATTAGCATTTCATTCTCATCAATTAGATACACAGCGTCATGATACGCACCTGTCACCCAGACCATGGGCGAAAATGACCGTCGCGGTATGCCGCTTCAGGGCAGGCACAACGAGCGCACTGGGTCCAGGCATATCGACCGATGAATTGGATGCAGATCTCTCTGCTTTCCGCGAAGGCCGTTTATTATCAGTATAAACTCTTTTCACAGTATGCAGTGGCCTTGTCCGGCAAAAGAAAAACACAAAGAGAGCGGGAGCAAATGACAGGGTTGGTTCAGCATACTAGTTGTAGATTGCCTGGGCGTGTAAAAGAACAGAGAAAGAAGAAGCGCAGACAGAGTAGCAACAACAATGCTGAGCGCAGAAAACAGATGCATAACTTTATAAGCTCATTAGGCTCTCACTCTCTCTTTCTCTACATGTGCAGCAGCAGACGGAGTAGAGGCGGTAGATGTGGATAATCAAGACGTGGATAATTGGGCGTAACCGTCAAAGAGAAAAACATGTGAAGACCATTGTACCGTAATCAGATATGACGGCATGATCGACGACTAAAGCAATCCACATGGCAAAGAGTAGCAAGGGTTATCCGAGCGGGGGAAGAAGAAACTAGATCGTACCTTATGCTACAGTACTGGTAACGGAAGACGGGTGGTCTAGCTTAGAAAAGAGGAAAACGCTTTGTAAATTTTCCGGGGCGGCCTGCGTGGGGGAAAAAAGACGAGAGATAGGCGAAAATAAAGATTGATAATGAAAGAGAAGGGTAAAAATATGCTTGGATGGTTAAAAGTGGTGTGAGGTTTTGGGTTTCCCCAGGGTGTCTGGTCTGATTATGATTCTACTGTGGATAAGTCGGAGAAAGGGTTGACGGGGCAATGGAGCAACGTGATTGGGTGGGAGATGGTGTTTTAGTCTAAGCTCGACAAGGTTGGGTCGATGGGGTTGTCAGTTGGCTGCACGACATCCCATAGCCCATCGCTCACCGCCTTTGGCGTTATCTACTGCATACCTTAAATAACCACTTAGGATTCATATTTACTCATATAATGCGAGAGTCTTTGGAAGTTTATTACGCGTGACGGATCACTGAGTAGCCTCAAGACACACGGTGTTCGATTTCGGAATATTATTCGAAATGGCACATCCAGAACTCAGGAGGATTAGAATGGTTCTACGAGGAATAATATCAAGTGCCCAACAATTAATAAGATAAATACACTTGATAGTAAAAAAGACTTGATTAAATTGCTGCTAGCTCGGTATCTCACAATGGTACATATCCAGTAAACTTAAAGAGTCTATTGTAAGGCAGATCCATGACGTCCCGAATTACGCCTCTCGTAGAAGAAACAATCCGAGACATAACACCGCAAAGCATTCCATAAGACATCAAATGTCGCTTGACTCCTTGGCTGATCCAGCTTGCGCGGTCGTCCGGTTCACTCAGAAGAATGCTCCGAATTTTCGCCGCGCCGAAAGGCCCCGTTTGTGCTCTCTAAAATAATTATGTAAATAAGCTGAAAGGGAAAAGGTAAAGAAAGGTTATGAAAAGGTTCGAAAAATAAAGTGTTCAAAGTTAAGATTCGTATGAAGAAGATATCATGGGGGATATGAAAGGAAAATAAAATGGTTGAGAAGAAGAAAAGTTGGTTAGAATGGTTGATAAGATGTTTAGAGCCGCGGCTCACGAAATGAATAGAAAGATCCAAAGCCAGCAATGGAATGGAGAATGAAGACTCTCCTCGAGCGCAACTCGTCAACCTGGACACAGAAATGTCTGTTTCGTTTGAATCCTTAAGCTGGGACTACATGACCACGCATTCGCCCTCGCTGTCTTTGCTTGAGCGTGTACCCGGTTCGCGATGTCGCTGGATCTTGTTACTGGTAGCGCTTTTGCGAAGCTCGGCTAGCTTTTCTTTAGCTTGCGCCTCACCGTTGACTGGATCATATTGAATTAGTCCTCTCTTTGCTCTGAAAATATGATAATGCATATATTAAACTTACCTGCGGCACGAGTGTACCAATTCTTCGCCTCTTCAGGATCAGCCGGAACACCGATGCCCTTCTCCCGGAATACACCCATTGCATACTGGGCTCGAGGTAGCCCTGAAGATGCGGCTCGACTGGCCCAAAGATAAGCTTCGGTATCATTCGGCTGAACAAGGCCCTCGACACCCTTGAGATACCAACCGGCTACACCAAGCTGGCTCTTCGGATCACCTTGGGCAGCAGCGCGAGTATACCAAGTACAGCTTTGGCCCGGATCTGCCGGATAACCCAAATACCCGTACTGGTACGCCTCTCCCAAAAGAGACTGCGACGCAACGTATCCAAGAGATGCGGCTTGTTCAAAATAATGCCGTGCGCGCGCCAAGTCTGGCGCGATAACGTTGGGGATACCATGTTCATGAAGAAGGCCCTGTAAGAAAAAGAGAAAAAGGGTAAGCAGCTGAACAATGGTGGACCAGACCGCAGAGGGACACTTACTAATTCATGCAGTGCATGGGGGTCTTCAGCAGATGCTCTTCCTGCAGCTCGATTCAGCCACTCAACGCCTTCCTGCGGACTCTTCGGCTGACCCATCAAGCCCTTGATCAGAATCACACCCAGTTTGTACATGGCACTCGTACTTCCTAGAGCAGCTGCGCGCCTATACCACTGAATAGCCCTGACCGGATCCTTTCTGGTCCCATGTTCTTGCCCGAGTTCGCAAGACACAGCAACGCGGTAAGCCGAAGGAGCGTGGCCTAGCTTCGCGGCACCTTGGTAAAGTTGAAAGGCTTCCTTGGTATCAGGCACCGAGCCAATGGCGCCTTTACCAAGACAGTCTGCCATGAAAAACATAGCCTCTGCATTACCGCTATTGATAAGCTTTTTGAGAAGCTTGTGTGCCTCGCCGTAGAAGCTGTCACGGCTCTTTCGCTTCGACCTATTATCGAGCTTGGCGTTCTGATCGACCAAGACAGTAGCTGCTTCAACGCATTTCTTCGCCAACGCCAACTGGGCAAGCTGATCAGAAGGCCGAGCTCGCGCTGTGTGCCTGAGCTTGTCCAATTCCTGATACGTAACAGGCTCTGGTTGCGTCTTTTTGACCACCTGTGGTCCTGCCACTGCCGGTCCTGCCACTGCCGGGGACGGCTTCACAGCACTTGGGGCCGCATTGGGGGAGGGACCGTTACTGTATTGACGGACTGGCGGGGGCGGCTGAGCTGGTTGGCCGACTGCAAAATTAGTAATGAGCCCCGGACGCACCGGCACAGGAGGCTGTCTCTGCGCACCCGCAGTGGCGGGTCTGGGTGCGCCAGGAGGGCTCGGGCGATCTCCCATGGGAGCAACAGGGATTCCCGGAGCTCCCGGAGGACTAGGCCGACCGGACATTGGAGGCCCTTTTACGGGTGACACGTTTCCTGGCGCGGCAACCGGGCGACTCCCGTCCGAGAAGTAACGCGCACCACCGGGCACAGCTGGGCGAGGAAGGACGCCAGGGCCAGCACCATAGGGTTGAGCACCTCGATACATTGCGGCTGGACTGGGATTTTGACCGTTTGTTATGGGGGCGTCAGGGTAAGGAGGGTATGCAGCACTCCCCTGAGCCCCAAGGGGAACACCTCTCTGAGGACTGAGAGGAGGTCCAAATCTTGCCTCTTTGCTCGGTGACAATGGCGGGCGGGCAAATCCAGGGCTTTGCGGAAGAGGTGGAACATTTGGTACATCTCCTGCCATCTCAAAAACGACCGGGCTCTGTCCTCGGAGGTTTGGCTGTGACCTGGCCTTATGGACCTGGGTCGGACTTTGTACAGGGCCCGGATGAGAGCGAGGGCTTGACGGCGCATTGCTCACCACTAAGTCTGGAAGAAGCGATGCATCGGGGTGGGCATTGAGCTGCGGTTGCAGGTGTTCCTCAATAGTCATGCCTCTGCGATGCCGAACACTGTCTGTGGGAATGGCATCAAAATTTGGCATTTCATCTTCCATCGACTTGCGCGATGCAGCTCCACCATTCGGAGGGACCGATTCATCGTGAGGTGAATCCAGGTACGCGTCGTATACATCTGCAATGCTTTCCCTGCTTTCGGACCCGGAGAGTGGAGCATACTGGGTGGGATGCGTAGGAGGAGCATGTGCAGAAGCAGCGCCGCCAATTGGCTTCATCGGCAGAGCCTGGCCGGTTGGAGTTCCTGGTGATGGAATCAAGACCGGCCCATCTGGCCCGTGGTATCCAGCAATGGGACCTGGCTCCTGCCAAGGAGCATTTAGCTTTACAGGGCTCTTCCTGGGGTCTGCAGCTTTGGATGAAGGCAGCTCGTTCGGCATCGTCATGGTGCGCGGTTCACTGGCGCTGGAGAGACCGTCGGCGGGTGAGAGTGGTGCCCTTTGCGCATCCCGTTGTGGGCCATATTCCCCAGGATGGGAGGCAGTGGCAGGACGCATTTGTAAAGCGGTAACCGGGGCATATGGGTCGCTGGGGTGCTTAGGAGCAAAAGGAGGAAGCTTCGCTCCTTTTGGGTAATGGCCAGTAGCTGTACTGGGTCGTCCATGATCCCTGCGGTCGCGGTGGCGCTCTGACGAACGACTACTTTTGCCGTCCGACGTAGACGGTCTCCGGTCTCCCTGAGACGTCGAGGGCCGACGCTCACCACTGGCTGTGGATGGTCTTCGCTCACCGTTCGCTGTCGAGGGCCGACTACGATCGCGCTCGCCATCAGAAGGTCTGCGATGACGTCGCTCCTTTTTATCTTTTGAGCTCTCTCCATTTTCAGAATGTCCCTTCTTCTTCTGAGGAAGGGGGAAAGAGCCGAACGGGTTGTCCCATGCGCTTAGAACAGGAGAGGTAGGCATGGGTATCCTTTGAAGCTTGGCGCCTTGATAGCAGCAACAACATTGGGTCAGCGGGAAGATCAACCGCGGGCCGATTCCGACCTAGCTTTGCAAGAAACATTTTACTCACCTGGACCAGTGAGCCCCGATTTTCCTGATGGCCCTAGGCTAGATGGAGTGGCAATGGACCCTTGGTCATCAGAGGGAGTCCTGGCTCCATGACCCCGCACTGAACTGCTTTCATGCGGCTTCATCGGAGGGCCATAAGGGGCCGCTTGTGTCTGACTCGGGCCATTTGCAAGAGATGGTTGGTGTGAATAATAGCCATTTGGTGAGACAGCTGGGCCATCAGGAGGATAATGCTGATATGGATCATTCCAAGTCCTCGGCTGCGTGCCGTCATTTGTATTATTGTATGGCTGTGGGTCATAACCATTATCATAGTGGTAGTTGTCATAGCCGTTTACATTTTGGTACTGGTTTGTCACGGGTAGCTGTGGTGCCCGTGTTTGGGTCGCGGGAGAACGTGGGATTGGCCGACTAAAGTGAGGTCTCGTCGGAGGTTGGTAGGGTCCTGTAGGATCGTACGCCATGGTTCGTGATAGGTAGACGTGAGAGCGTTGCTCTCTTGCGTTGTAGGCGTAGCTTCGCCGCGTTTCGTCGTGATGTCGTAGTTATCGTTAATACGTCATGTCAAGGTGTTTGTTTGCCTTCAGTGGCATGCATGCATGCAAGCAATGGCGTGGCTGAGGTCTAGTCTGCGGCAAACGAGTGATAACCGCTCAAGGCGAGCAGGGGAGGTTCAGAGGTTGGTTAGGCAGAAAAGCTGCCGTAAGCTCTGCTCGGACTTGTTGACCTTGCAGGGCGCTTGAAGGTACTGAAGCTGCTCAAGTACAACGAAAGAATCGGTAATCAGCCGGACCGATGAAGTCAAATCAAGTAACGTAGGTAGTGAAAGTGGAATGCCGCAAGAAGCCGCACGGACGGGGCGCGGAGAGAGCGGGTAGAGAAGAAGCAAGGATAATTTTAAATCAAAGGAATGTACTTGATGTGCACAAAAGGACGACAAGGCCTGCTCTCGTCTTCTTGCACAAATCTGAACAGGGGGGTGTTTGACTGATTTAAGTTTGGAACTTGAGGTTCTGAGTAGTTTGGTTGAACGGGGATGAGAGAGAGAGAGGGTTGTCAAAACTGTGTGGGGGAAAACAGAAGACCCTTGCTTGCCCAAGCGTAGCGAGGCGTGCAACTGTAAATTTAAATTTAAATTAGAATTAGAATTAGCTCCAAGATCTGCGAAGATCCAACGGCACGAGGAGTACGATGAGGAAAGCCGTAAACGGTGCTGATGGAGAAAAAAGAAAAGTAAGACAAAAAACAGCTTCGAATATCTTGATCAGATGGTGTGTTTTGTCAAATATTCGTGCAAAGGGAGTGGAGGCAGGCGGACACGAGAAGTTCTTTAAAGTGAGGTCACATGGAAATTGGGCCCGGTCCAGAATGATTCCGTCATGTCTAGTTATTATTTCCTTTTATTGAAGAGTATGCGAGGCCATTATTGCACTTTGCACTGTTTGCCGAATCTCTACGATTAGAAACGCGTAACCCAATTCAATCTCCGAGCAGGGGTGGAGAGAAGGGAAAAAAAAAGGGAAGAAGAAAGGAAAAAGAGTGGAAAGACCGAGCAAGAGCCGTTGAGCAAGTGACGGGAACCATGGGTGAGCTGGGTCCTGCCGAATCGGGCACTGGCTGCGAGTGAGCTTGTGGCTAGTGATGTGGCAGTGCTGCGCCGTTTAAAGTCCGGCATTCGAGCGAGCCTTTTCATAGAACCCACCCTCGCACCGACGAGCTGTCAAAAGGAATACAATAGCAAAATACGATTGGAGCTTCACAGTTCAATCCACTTGACGTCACTCTCAACTGTTTGCACCTTCGTATTCCCTGTGAACTGAGGTAGCTTGGACCCTTTTGCCGGACTAGCTTTGATAGCCCCTTGATAGCTCCTGTGGCTTGATGTCATGTTCACAGTTCAGTAACATTATCAGCCAGCTTCAATCAACTGTAAGGAACAATAATATTGATTTTCTATAGTACATAGAGATCTGTCTTCTATTTGCTCCTTATATTGTATATATTTTTAAGTAATTCACCAAAATTTCACATTTTCTTTTAAATTGTCCTTTTAAATTGTCACATTTTATGGTAGCGCATATATATCGGCGGGGAAAATACCTCTAAATCTCTTTCTGCAACAAAACCTCAATATTGCCCCTAACAGCCAGACTCGTAGAAGGAAAGCATAGCAGCAGCTCAAATTTTCAATTGCTTCACCAATCCCATCTCTGCAACATACATACGTTACTACCTCTGCTGCGTTGTCAGCTCCCGTATGTACACCCTGACACATGTGGCTGGAGCACTCGCTTAAACCACCCCTATACTCTCAGGCAACGAGTGTGGCTTACCACACTCAGTGGCGGTGCAATGATCGATGATGATTCCATTCAAGTGACCTTCCAATGAGAGACCTGAGAGCCTGAGCCCAAAGTTACTGCACTGTACCTAGCAAAACCAGATCATCAACAAATCGTCATAGCTTTACCTCTGCCTTTATTTCCTGTCATCTTCCTCAATTGAATACCCTACGTTCTTTCATACTGTCCGATCTTGGCTCTTAGCGATCGGGTATCCCGACTGTCAAAATTCCCATAGTATACCAAGATCCCGCCTTGCCATTACTACCTAACCTTGCACTCCATCCTTCTCTCTAAGCATCAGGCGGCAGACTTTATCAAAATGCCCAACTACGGATTATGGGCCAAGATGTTTGGCGTGTAAGTACCACAGATTCTTTCCCTTGCTTCCCTGTCTCAATTGATCGATGAGACTGTGCAGCTGCACGTGCCCATTGAACGACGTATGATGTTGATGCATGGAAGGCTAACATGACTGTATCAGCGGCGCGGCCATGTGTATTGGTGGACCGGCATTGGTCATGTGGATATCGCCCACGGAGGAGGAATTATTCCAGGTCAGTGTTGATCAGTTGCGCGGCATCTCAGATTTTGTAGTAGAGTGATCTTGCATCATTGTTTTCTTTCATGTCACGTTCTACGGTTTTTTTCTTCTTTCCATATCACGTTCTATGTGTTCTCTCTTTCTTTCCATGTCATGTTCCATGTCCTCGTTACCACCATTTACATTATTTTGTCTTCTTCTTCTTCTTCTTCTTCTCTTCTTCTCTTCTGTCTCTAGCTTTTTTTCCAATTTGTTCTTCTTTATCCTCCTCCTCTTCTCCTTCTTCTCCTTTCCCCCCCCTTGTCCTTTGTCTTTCCCTCTTTCTGCTTTCTTCCCTTCTTTTCTTTCTTCATCCCCAAAATTTCTTCATTTCCCAGCCTCACGCAACCCAAACTTCAAACTGAATCAGCATCCTGACTTCTATTCATCTCACACAGAGATATAATCCCGAGCTGCAGAAACGTTCGCTCGAGAACCGACAAAAGAATCAGGAGGAATTCGACCATTTCGTGACAAGGCTGAAGGAATATTCCAAATCGGAAAAGCCGAGTATGTTCCTCTCTCTTTTACCTGCCCTTTTATCCATTCCTCCATTTACCCTTTCACCTACTTCACCTACCCTTCCATCAGTCCTTAAACCCTTCCACCTGCCCTTTCACCTGTCCCCTACACATGCCTTCATCAACCCATACGTACACTCACCCATTCACACACCAATACAACCATACGGTACATCCCGACCCCCGAACCCCGAACCCCGAACCCCAAATTCCGAGGACAGAAAAAGCAAAACTAAACCTACATTCACCAAACAACCCTGCTAACAATAACAACAACAGTATGGGACGTCGCAGAGGAAGACCGGGCGCGAACACGCGCCGACCTGCTCGAATCCCAGCGTCTCAGCGCCGAGCAAGTCGCGCGACAAAAGGAAGAAATCCGCCGCGCGTCTGGGTCCTGAATAATTAACTCTACCTTATGTACTACTATCAACTCTGTGTAACTATTATCCATTCTATCTTGCTATTTTCGTTTGTTCAGTATTTCCTGGCTCAAAAAGAACAAATTGAGGTTTTGACATGTGTAATTTTACATTGTACCAGTCGGGTTGGTTTCGTTTTAACGAAGTCCGGGTCTTGGGAAACCCATTGTATAAAAGCCGAGCGGCCCGAATTGAATAAAGTAGTTGGAAAGTCCATGTGGAAGAGGTATCTAGCTCCGAATTGAAAAAAAAAAAAA